GCGATAATAGATCAAATGAAATTTATAAACAAGTAGACAGGTCAGCGGATATCCGTAGCATCGAAGGAAAGGTAAAGAACAAGTTCAAATGGTCGTGGCTGGAGGAAAAGGATGTAAATGGTGACTTTTTATTGGACTTTGTGAGGAAAGTGGACAGGCTAGGATATGCAGTATGCACGTGGTTAGTAAATTTTACTTTATAGATCTATTAAAGTTTATAATCATTTCTTGTACTGGAGTTTTAGAAAATCGTTAATAATTTCTTAATTATCATTCAATGACGTGACTGATCAAGACGGCAAATCAATTAAAGCAGCTATCGATGTGCATGGGGATTAGCTCTGTTTATTGAGTCATAATGAAAAATTTAAAATATATATTATCAACTAAAAACTATCCGTAGTATCTTATTGATTTAATATGTTTTTGGTTTTTCACTGTGACCATTGATAGGGGGAATTTCGAGCAGGCAAGTGCCTATGGGGATATTCTGCCCAAATTTTCTTTAGATCAGGACTTAGTTTTTTTCAGCATATATATATATATGTGTGTGTGTGTGTACATGGGGATTTAGCTATGTGTAATGAGTCATAGTGAAGAATTGAAAATATATTATCAACTAAGAAGTGTCCGTAGAGCGTGAAATATGATTTAAAAGCACAGAACACTAGCAGCCTTGGTCATTACCATAGGGAGGATGTCCTAAGGGATCCTGTGGACAAGAGTGTGTGCTACCACTACAGACAGCCTATGGCAGATATGCTAAAAAACTGAGGGAGAGGAAAGAAGAAAAAGCACTGCCAAATCCAGCTTATTCTAAACATGGATCAAAACAGTGCACACAATTGCTAAAAACATTAAAAAAGCAATATGGTCAAAGAGGGGAGCTAGCAAGAGAAAACGAAACAGTGAGGATGTTGAAAAACCAAGGAAGAAAAAGATCTAGTGTTGTTGGTGTCACTGTCACAGCTGGTTTTCTCTTTCCTGAGCAGACTGTCTTGTTTTATTATTATAGAACTATGAACTTTTTAACAGAATTTGCAGTGCATTCCATGGTATATGTATAATTTAGTGCTTTATTGATGGATTTGAAATCCTTGAAGTGGCATGGTTATAAGAAATATTCCTTTTGTGTTTTCTTCACTTCAGTGTTGTGATAACTGATAATATTTTATACTGAATGAGCTCAAATTACAAGAAAAATGTGGCTGATTGATAAGATCTTTTGTAAACTGAATGAGATTGATTTTACAATAAATATATGTCTGATTTATTTTTAGCAATGTTTTAATAATGAATCTATTCAATTTCATAATAGTGTGAACTGTTTAGTCTCAGTTGAATCATACACATTTCTAAAACACATATGCAGTACCGAGTGTAAGTTATAAAAGCATTACTTTATATAAGTTTTGACATCCAATAGTGAAAATTATGAATTCCAAAGAATGCACTCTTGAAAATTATCCATTAACTAGGGGAATCAGATTTGATATTTCTCACATGTATTTGATAATCATTGATATAAGAAAAATGGGGTAACTTGTTTAAGTGAATTTTAAGTACTAAAATGCATCAAAATGCAGGATTTTGGGTGCCGGACCCTCCCCCCCCCTACTTGGCTTCGATTATTTTCAGGATTTTTAGCAAAGGGACACTTTCATCTCTGTGTCTAACACTTCAGTGTAGAACAAAGTTCTTACACCAGAATGGTTCTTTACTATGCATTCTGTATTCTTTTTTGTTTATATGTATGTCTGTAGTTTTGTGAAGCAACAGTCCAGTAGTTTTAAATTTTAATTACAATGAAAGAAACCAGTGTCCAGACAAAATAATATTTATACTGCTATGAAAGATAATTTTGCAAATGATACAGTATTTCACATCCATTTGATATGACTAAGTTTTTCTTGGAGATATGTATGCATGTGCTCATCCAAATCTATTTTTACATGTGAATATTTTCCATACAGTAGACTAACTGTTTGCTTGGTTCAGCTACATAACCAACTCTAGTCTTTTTAAAACTTGGTACCATCTTCTTAAAATTTCACCATAGACTCTAGGCTTGTAAGTAGGCTCTTAAAAAGTTATAATTTTGTGTATCTGATTTTTTTAATGATTCCTGTACATAATCATTTTTAGTTGATTTGCTTTTACATAGAAAATTGTTTGTCAGGTAATATCCATCTTCTGATAACATCAATAATGAAATTTCAAATATTCTTGGCAGTTTTTTGTATACAAAGAAACTAAAGTATGAGCTTCCATATAAATAAAGATCCTAAACTTTCACTTTCTTTAATTTTGAATCATTTTTGAACTTTGATTTCCAGAAAGGATTTATTAACACATTGCAGTTTACAAAGGATGGGAAATACCTGGTGGCTGGTGTAGGACAGGAACACAGACTTGGACGATGGTGGAGAATAAAAGAAGCCAGAAACTCCATTGTTATTATTCCTTTGTTATTTAAAACATAATTTACAAGTAAACTATCTTATAGTTGGTGTGAAGAAATCAATAAAAGTTATTTTTTGAGAGACTTCGTTGTTGGATGTTGATTCCAGTACTTTTAATCTTTATATTGATGCAATAATTTTATTTACGTTTTGACTGTATGAGATCAACAAAGTAGTAAATTTTTTCTGTTAAAAATATAAAAATTATTTTTTCAGTTGGTAGTGTTCCACAAGCATTTACAAACTTAGTAAACTTCCAATAAGACCCATCTCTGTCAAAAACAGTAATTTGTTTGTATTTCAGTATGTTTTTAAAAGGGTTTATATAGTTTGAGGTGATATGTATCTTCCTATTAAACATATGTTTGCATCATATTTCAGCACCATATATCCTGATTTTCCAGAAATAATGTTACCTTTGAAATACTTTTATTGAAACTAAAACTAGGACTCTTGTGAGTTTCATTTTTTATTCATTTTTCTAAACTGTTTTCTCATTAAGTTTCTTGTTAGTCCATGACTTTTTTTGGTTTTCTTTTACAGAAGGCTTTAAAAACATTGTTCTTTCTACTTGAGCTTTTTTTTTTAGATTAGTTTTCCAAGACTTCCTCTACAAGTGTCACTCTGGACTAGGCATTTCCAGCCCAATTTACCTTTGTTTAATAATCATGAATACTCTGCCTAAACCGTCTACAAAAGAATAGATTTAAATTTTCTTTTTTCCCCCCGTCTAAAGCAGTTAACACAAATACACTAAAAAAGGCATGTTGTGCAATGGCTTACTGTTTAAAAAATTAATAGTATGTGTTTATTATTATTTTAATGATAAAATTTCTAATTTTAGCACCAAAGCTTAGTTGAGAAGAGGCTTAGTCGAACAGTTATAACGACTAGGAGCTTTCAAACACTATTCAACTCTGTTGTGTAACACTCTGATTGTTACCGAACTCGTATGGGCAGGAAATAAGCGTCAGTTAATACACATTATAAAGCACATATACATGTGAATTATAGATGAAAACACTTCGTTCTCTATCCTTGGAATATGCTTTTTTTTCTACCTAATAAATCACGATGCTACAACAATATGGAGATCTGATTTCCATACACGATCCACTATCTCATTTCCTTGCGGAAAATGACTGTTGATTTAAAGCTGTTTCGTTGTGTATGCCGTTTATATCAAAAGAGGAAAGAACGAAAATAACGCCCACAGTATTTCCAGCAGCTATTTTATATAGGAATTTCAAAAGCTTTAATAGATATTTCGTCCGAATGTGCATGTATCTACAGAACAAATGTTTATGTTTCTCATAAATTTTAATTTTCATTTAAATCTGTGTATGTATAGAAACTTAGTGAAACATCCAGCTTTCACTACCTTACATTTGTCCGTGTCACGATTTCTATCCCCCCCTGGTGGCTCAGCGGAAAGTATGAGGGTTTGTAACACTAAAAATCGAGTTTTGATCCCCGCAGCAGGCAGAGCAAAAACATTCCATTGTGCAACTTTGTAATTAATAACAAAATACTCTATTTCTAGCAAGTATTTTAGGTGTTACAATTGTTCCTGGTTTCTTACTACGTTACATAAGTAACTTGTTTATTACATGTGACATACAAACGCATATTGTAACATGTCACCTAAGTATTAGTTTTCTCAGATGATGTGTACATGTAGCTGTTTCAATTCTTCTACAAATAATTTGATGTTTTATAATGCGTAAGTGAAAAACTGTAACATGATTTACACAAATATTAACGATATCTGTATAAAGATAAATATGCAAAACGTACAGGTGCATAATGAAAAGAAACGAGAGGAATTTATCACATTTATGCATTGTTCTTATTTACTTATTTTCAGATATAACTAGTTCGTTTTTACGTATTGCTCATATCCATACATCTTCACTAAATTTTCTCTGAAACCTATATTTTCAAGTATTTCATCATGTTACGTGTTGTATCTCTGTCGAAACTATAACTAAATGCATTTCCTCTCAAACTAAAATTACTGATGATTTGCAATTCAAAATAATTCCCGTCATTTGCATGATAGTTCCATAGTTTAGTCTGACATGCAGTATCACATTGCCAACAAAAGTATGGGTGTGGCTGCGATATTACATTCATCAAGGACAGGATATATATATATAAACACTGTATGAAGTTAGTGTTAGCAGCAGACATTTTTTGAAGTCAGAGCGATTCAGGTACTTCCATCAAACATTCACTAACATGGCTACAAAGGTTATAACGTTTGTCTTCGTTGCCTTCTTTACATTGGCGATGGTTTCTTTAGTTTTTGGTGCTCCTGTAAATGAGTCAGACAAAGAAAGAGTAAAACGACAAACAAACCCAAATGACAGTTTTATGATAGCTCTCATGCAGATTTTACAACAGATTTTGAACCAAAATAACTCCAATCTGCAAACAGGAGGTGGCCTAACTATTCCATTCCCCTCTCGAAACTCACGGAGATATGGAGGAAATAACACTGACGATGAAAGTACTGATGACAGCGACAATGATGGTTGAACCACAAGAATCTTATCTACATCACTTACTACTATTACTGATATTTACGTAATGTGGTCTTGAATAATTAGTATTAGAAATGTTTCAGTGTGTCCAGCACCTATCACAGTATTTAGTAGTAGCTCTAGGTAAACTGTATAACCATTGCAAGATGAAATAGTGAATAATCTTAGAAATGAAAATGGCTTTCGTTTTTAAAATTAGCCAGTTCTCGTCCAAGAGTATTATAATTTGAAACATTAAATAAACAGTAAGGACATTTTAGTTGAAGCACTACAATAGTAGAATGAATGAGCATGTGAATTGTTTCACACATTCATATTTTATTCTTGTATTATTTAGTCATTTAAAATTATGAAGTGTTAATCTTGAATTATATGGTTGAAAGTTATGATTTGAGCTAAAATATAAAGATTCTGTTCTAATAAACTACAGCAACATAAAATTTCTAGTATAAAACTCTAGTTTTAGTTCTAAATGGGTTGAAGTGGATTTCTTGAAAAAAGAGAAATTAATTTAATCGTAATTTTTGATACATGGAAATTTTGAAGCTTGAGTTCGTTTTGTTTAACATTCCTTTTATCAATTTGTTTGGAAAAATTATTTCATAAATGTATTTGATATTAGTACTTTTGTAGTAATTTCTAGTTTTCAGTTTACAATCTTCTTAACAGTGATTTTTTTTGTAATCACAATTATCTAGATTCAACTGTTACATGTAATCTATGTAAAATATTACTATTCTGTCCTGTTTTTTTATATAAAGCAAAATCTGGTATATTCACTTCTGACGCTATTTCACAATAAAATGTTGCAATATGATATTTTGTTAATTGTTTTGTTTGGAAGTTTCGACGAATGAATAAAATAAAACTTAAAAATGAAAACCTAAATAAAACGTCCCATTGTTTTCCAAGAAGCCGGTTTTTCCTATTACTATGCAACCATATTTTAGTATCTCTTTTCTTAATTCCATCTGGTTGGCAATTAAGTAATCAAATTAAAATGATGCTTATTTTAGCAAATGCTTAGTTTGTGGCTAAATGTTCATGAAAGCTAAATCTTCTGCCATTACATTTGCAATTGACTAAAAGACACTTCTTCGTTTTAACTAACAAGGAAGAGTTTGCTATCTTCAGAACTGAAACACACTCATTCAAATGTTATTATTAAATTAATTGTGCATGGTGTATAGCATAATTTTAAAATATATTGCAACTATATAACGGAAATATTTGAAAAAATACTACTTAAGACTTTTTGTATCATTATAGGTATTATTTTCGTTGAGACTAAATGTTTATAATTAGTAATATCTACGGCAATTCACTTTTTAATAAATAGAAAATTATAAAAAGGCGAGCTGGAAGAAGTCCTTTGGCCAGGCTATGTTCCTATAAAATAAAATTATCATTAAAAATTGTAAAGTTCTATGGGCAGGCTAAAATCCTGTGAAATACAATTATCATAAAGAAAGACAAGTTTCAAGAAATTCTTTGGTCATGCTAAGCTCCTGTAAAACAGAATTATCATAAAAAGACAAGCTGGAAGGAAGGGTTTCGAATAGGCTAAAATCCTGTTAAATGCAATTATTATAAAGAGACAAGAGTGAAGAAATTCCTTGGGTAGGCTAAACTCTCGTAACATACAATTATTATTAAGAGAAAGCGTAAAGAAGTTCTTTGGGCATGCCAAGCTTCTGTAATATAGAATTGTTATAAACAGACAAGTATGAAAAAATTCATTGGGTATGATAAGCTCATGTAAAACAGAATTAACATAAAGAGATAAGCTGGAAGAAGTTTTTGGGCAGGCTAAAATCCTGTAAAATAGATTTATCATAAAGAAAGACAAGTTTCAAGAAATTGTTTGGTCATGCTAAGCTTCTGTGAAACAGAATTATCATAAAAAAGATAAGCTGGAAGGAGGTTTTTGGGTAGGCTAAAATCCTGTAAAATACAATTAACATAAAGAGACAATAAAAAAACGATCTTTGTGCAGGCTAAACTCCTGTGAAATAGAATTATCGTAAAGAAACAAAGAGTGAAAAAATTCTTTGGTAGGATAGGCTCTGGTAGAATTAAAGAGTCAAATTTGAAGAAATATTTGGGCAGGTTAAGCTCCTTTAAAGTATAATTATCATGAAGAAACAAACTTGAAGAAATTGTTTACTTTAAAGGAAATAGCAGGAAAAGTTTATAAGACATTTTATAGTTATCAAAGTATTGTAATATATCAGTTGCAAATGTGTACATGCAACAAAATATCATCAAGAGCTTACTTTAGAGTTTAGGTAAACATTGTTGAATTATTATCTTATTTAGACATTGAATAGCTTGTTTTATTCTTTTTATGAGTTACGTTCGTCAATAGGAAATTAAGTTGAATTTACTAGTCTGCTTTATTTTAAGCATCCTTGAAAAACCTTTCCAAAAGACAGGGAGTAAAAGCTACAATCCTTTATTATTGCAAAATAGTACCATCTCAAGAATCTAAATTTAATGTTAGTATTCTAGTGGGTAAGTGAACGAACTTACAACAG